GCCTGCGGCGGTGGGGCCCCGGCCACCCCACTCCCCGCCAGCGACAGCGTGGAGCTGCGCAAGGCTGACGGCACCATGCTCAGGGTATCGCCCCCGCGCCCTCGCCCCACCACCATCCCCATGTTCCTGGAACCCATCCAGAGCACCCATCTCCCCACTGGGCTGCTGGGCAGATTCAGGCCAGTATGGGGAGATGTGGGGCTGAGCTGGGGGCCTGACAGCACCCTCTATGCCCACAGCTCATCAAAGCCATCATCGAGTCAGGGCAGATCACCTGCGAGTTTCAGGTGCAGCACCTGACAAAGGTGGACACGGGGCTCTGGGAGTGCCGGGTCTCCACAACAGGGGGCCAGGACAGCCGGAAAGTCAAGGTCAACATCCGAGGTGAGGAAACGGGTGGTGGCATGAGCTGGATGAGTTGGGGTTGCCGAGGGAACCTGACAGCATGGTGTGGCAACACCAAACTCCCAACTCTGGGCTGGGTGACAACTGTTGTGTGCCACAGTGCCAGCCAACAGGTTTGGGTGGTGATAAAAGACTTCTCTGACAAAGCTGGAAGGAGCTGAGAGGTGGAGGTGCTCTGCTCTTTGTTGCTCCCAGTCCCCCTGGTGTCATCCCTTCCTAAAACACCAGTGCCCCTGAGCCCCCCACGGCTGCTGGCCAAGCAGAGCCGCCAGCTCCTGGTTGCACCCGTGGACAGCTTCTCTGGCGATGGACCCATCATCTCCATCAAGCTGCTCTATAAGCCCAAGGATGACAACTCAGCATGGTCATCCATTGTGGGTATGTCTCCGCTAGGGGTTGGGGGCACAGGTAGGACCTGGGTGGGAGGTGACAGCTGCCCCAGCCAATGGGTGTGTGGAGTGGGCAGACGTCTCCGTCCTGGGACCCCTGTGGTGATGCTGTGGAGGATGCCAGTGGCACGGCAGATTGTGGGTCATGGATATGGCTTTGACATATCCTCTTGGCCAACAGTTGACAACAGCGAGAACATCACTGTCATGAACCTCCGGCCAGTCACTGCCTACATCGTCAAGGTGCAGCTGAGCCGGCCAGGGGATGGCGGGGAGGGCAGCAAGGGGCCTGAGGCTGTGATGGTGACCGAGTGCCTTGGTGAGAATCCATCTCCCTCACCCTGACCTTAACACGGACCCTACCCTTAACCGTGCGTGGTGCAGGGTCTGCAAAGCCACAGGGCTGATGTGCCGTGAGGTTTTGCTGCCTTTCTGTTCTTAGAGCCCTCAGTCAAGCCTGTGATCGAAGGCTGGTCCATAGAGGAGAAGAACACACTTCATGTCAACTGGAAATTGCCAAGTAACCATGAGCCGGCACATGGGTTCATCGTCCATCTCTTCGACTCTGCAAGGCGGCTGCTCTGGGAGAAAAACATCACATCCATCTCCGTGCTCTCTGCCCGCATTGGAGACCTGGAGTTCAACAAGGAGTATGGGCTGGAGGTGCTGGCGTACCACTGCACCAGCCTGGGGCCCCCCTCCGACCTCTACAAGGTCATGATCAACAGCAAAGGTGTGTTTAGCAGAACACCGAGTTTTTACAATGATAAGTCAGTTATAATTGTAACAGCAGCCATTCTCAGGTCTGGCTGCTCCTGTATCCTGTCTTTAAAAGAGCATGAACTGCTGCTTGTGGGAAAATAGGTCCTCCTTTCCACACTAGACCCCACGGCCTCCAGCATCAAGCAGCTGAGAAACATCTTAAGCTGAATATGGCATTCAGGTCATGATGAGTGATGCTCACAAACAGATCTGTCCTCTGCAGCCTTGCCCAAGCTCTGATGAACTTGTCTATAGTTGCAGCCTTTACAACATCCTGTGGCAACAAGTTCCTCAATTATACTTCGCATGAAAAAATTGTTTCCCTTTATTTCACTTTAACCCTGTTGCCTGTAATTTTGCTGGATGGTTACTAGGGCTTGAGGTGATTTGCAATCCCTCCTGTGGGCAGACACACATGTGCACACAGCTCCCCACATGGGTGGTAGAGTGTGGGGAGGTGCAGCACCAGTCTTACCAACCTTTCTGGCAGCCAAAGGCAAAGAGTGCCTTTGGGGAGGCTCGGTGCTGGCTGGTATGTGTTGAGAGGGCTGGTGCACGTCAGGCTTGGAGGATGTGACGTTTTCTCTGCTTGGTGCTTGTAAGACCTTTGTGTGACTTGGGGATTTGGGATTAGGCGTGTGGGTAGGCTAGAGGAGGCTCAGAGGAGGTGATGGGAACACCCTGCCTGAAGGAGGGTTGAAGAAAGAAAATATCCCAGGGGCTAGTCAATACAGAGACATACAGCTTGATGATCACTGAACCTGGTAGCATTTTGAGGTATAGTCCTGCCCCACTGCTGTTCTTGGAGACCCCCTTCACGTCCCCCTGCTCTTTCTCCCAGCAAGGGCTGGGGTTCACTGGAGATCCCTCAAACCTGGCACAGCTTTGGTTGCCATTGCCATCCACATGGTCCAGTCCTCACAGCAGGGTTCATCCACCGCAGCACCAGGAGTCTCATCCAGGGACTGACACTCTCCTCTCCTTTTCCCAGGGCCCTCCTCCCCACGATTGCTCTCGGCAGACTCCGTGTCTGACACCGCTGTCAGGCTTTCCTGGCAGGTCCCCGAGTATCCCAATGGGGGCATCACCAAGTACATCGTGGAGCTGCAGCAGGTGGGGGGCACCAGTGAGCCCCAATGGATCGACACCGACAGTGGCGCTGAGACCACGAAGATCATCGGGGGCCTCAACGCCAGCACAAGCTACCAGTTCCGTGTCCGTGCCAACTCCCATGTGCCAGGGGAATGGAGCCAGCCCTTGAAAGCCAAGACCCTGGGGGACGGTGAGAGGGGTGTCCCAGCAGGCAGAGGGGGTCACAGCTCTGCTGGAACGTGGGCTCAGCATCTGGCTCAACAAAGAATAAGTGGGGTGCTTGTGGTAACCTCAGAGAATGGCTCTGAAGCAGCAGCCCGAAACACTTGGTGTCTTCAGAAATCTTTCTCCTCCTAGATCTGATGGGGTAGGGGTGGCATGGTGACAGCACAGCACTCACAGAGTGGCTCTGCCTCAGCCAGAGGGTGAAAGGGTGCGTGAGGGGCTAAAGGAGCAGGGCAGAGCCGGCACAGGAGGAGCTGATGGCTGGATCCAGAGCTGGCTAGAGATCCAGAAACCAGCAAGCTTGGTCTCAGAACCAAGGCAGTGACATCCTCATCCCTATGTCACCATGGCACCAGGAGCTCAAATTGCGGTTATGGTGTCTTTATGGGGTCCCAGCATGCTGGGAGAAGGCTGTTGTCTTGGTGCTTGGCCACCCGTGCAGCCTTGGCAGGGCTTGGCTGTGGACCACGACCCCCCATCCCTCCTTTCGGCAGGAGCGCTGAGTGTGCCGCCCAGCCTGGGCAGCCAGAGCACCGAGCAGGCAGAAATAGACCAGCAGCTGCTCTTAGCCATCGTGGGCTCCGTGTCCGTCACCTGCCTCACCATCCTCTTTGCCCTCCTGGCGCTTTTCCTCATCAAGAAGAATTTTTTCCACCGGCGCCGCACCTTTACATACCAGTCTGGCTCGGTGAGTGCCACCTGCCCTGCCAGAACCGTGTCCCCAGCTCCCCATGTCCCAGCCCGATCCAGGTCACGCTCCGTAGCCTCCAGTCCAGATGCGGCCAGACCTCACTTCCACATGGAGAGGGTGCGGAGCCCACCCTTGCCCACAACACCTGCCCCGCCGGCACTGCCGTGCGGGCAGAGGGGTGCCCAGTGCCTCTAACCTCACTCGCTCCTGTCTGCCAGGGGGAAGAGACCATCCTGCAGTTCAACTCGGGGACCCTGACTCTGACACGCCGGCCCAAGCCACAGCCCGAGCCCCTCAGCTACCCCATCCTGGAGTGGGAAGACATCAAGTTTGAGGACATGATTGGGGAAGGCAACTTCGGGCAGGTCATCAGGGCCATGATCAAAAAGGACGGCCTCAAAATGAACGCGGCCATCAAGATGCTGAAAGGTGAGCGTGGGAGGAGGTGGGCAACGTGGGCAGGGGGATGCAGCTGCATCCTGGGCCATACTTGGAGCTGAGGAGGGGCAGGAACCATTGGCAGAACAGAGGATGGGCTCTTGTTGTAGGACTGAGGTGTCCATCCCTTCTTTGCTTCCAGAGTTTGCTTCAGAGAATGACCATCGTGACTTTGCGGGGGAGCTAGAGGTGCTGTGCAAACTCGGCCATCACCCCAACATCATCAATTTGCTGGGTGCCTGCGAGAACAAGGGTGAGGGCTGTCCCCCTCTCGCCACCACTCTTTCTGTGTATTTCTCTTTGCTGGAGACAGCCCCATGAACCCAACCTTCTCCTGCCCCCAGGCTACCTGTACATCGCCATTGAGTATGCTCCCTATGGAAACCTTCTTGACTTCCTCCGCAAAAGTCGAGTCTTGGAGACAGACCCAGCCTTTGCCAAGGAACACGGCACCGCCTCCACCCTCACCTCCCAGCAGCTCCTCCAGTTTGCTTCAGACGTGGCCAAGGGGATGCAGTACTTGAGTGAGAAGCAGGTACATCCCCTGCAAGCCCCTCGGAGCTTCCTTCTCCCGGAGCTTGAGAACTCCCCACCAGGGCACGAGACCCCTGAGGTCAGCAGAAGGGAGCATGTTCTCCTCCTGACTGATGGCCCCTTTCAGTTCATTCACAGAGACCTGGCAGCCAGGAATATCCTGGTGGGAGAAAACCTGGCCTCAAAGATTGCAGACTTTGGCCTCTCCAGAGGGGAGGAGGTCTATGTGAAGAAGACGATGGTGAGGCAGGAGTGAAACATCTCCATGAGACCTGCACCACTGTGGTGGGCAGGACCTCCACTGTCAGCGGGAATGACTAGGCTGGCTGGAGAGCGGCTGGATCAAGGCTGCCCTCCATCAGAGGGGCACTCCCTGTCCCCTGACAGTCGCTCTCTGTTTCTCCAGGGCCGCTTGCCAGTTCGCTGGATGGCCATTGAGTCCCTGAACTACAGCGTGTACACCACCAAGAGTGACGTGTAAGTCCTGCAGGCAGGGGCATAGCTGCGGCCACCTCCATCTCTCCCAGGGTGGTCAGTGTGGTGATGCTTTTCCTCTGGGTGCTGCAAGGGCAGGAGGTGATGCTGATGCATCTCTCTGGGGGTGGTTTGGCCCAAGCCCTGTCTGCCTGCTCCATCCTGGGCTTTGCCCTGTGTCCATCAGTAGGATATGGCTGTGGACTTTGTCACAGCCTCAGCTTCTGCCCTTTCAGGTGGTCGTTTGGAGTCCTGCTCTGGGAGATCGTCAGCTTGGGTAAGGCTCTTCTGTGTCGTCAGCTTTCATTTGGGTTCCTGCAAGTCTGGTCCTCCTGGGAGATCCTGGGGTCTGGCCCTGCCACAGCCAGCTCTGTGCGTCTGCCCACAGGGGGGACCCCATACTGCGGGATGACGTGTGCTGAGCTCTATGAGAAGCTGCCCCAGGGCTATCGCATGGAGAAACCGCGCAACTGTGATGACGAGGTGTAAGTGGGCAGAGAACCCCAGCTGATGGTGGCACCCACATCCCCCTGAATCCACTGCCCCATGGAGCTCCCATCAACTCACAGTAGCTCCTGCCTGATTCCCCTTGCACTGTGACTAGGGGCTGAGCTATGGTCTACACTCCAAACATCCTATCTGGGCTTTAGTTTCCTGCCTGCTTCCCCTCATCTCCCACAAACAGCTTTTCTGCCCTCTCTCCACCTGCACCAAGCGACCGCTGGCTCTCTGTCCCCAGGTACGAGCTGATGCGTCAGTGCTGGCGTGACCGGCCCTACGAGCGCCCACCCTTCGCCCAGATTTCCATGCAGCTCATCCGCATGCTGGAGGCCAGGAAGGTGAGCGGTGGCGGGAGGGATGCCTGCCCTCCTCCACTGGGACTTGTCTGAGTGCTGGAGCATCCCCTGGGCTCGGGAGGGGAGGTA